CTTCTAATATATAATACCTCTTGAAAAAAAAAATCTTTGTATAAAATGAATCAAACGAAACTTAAATAACCCACTAAAATCAATCTAGTTTACAAAAAAGTTTAAAATCAAATAAATAATCCAAATAAATTGTTTAAACCCACATTAAATAAAATATAAAATCATAACACTTATAGTAAGACACAATTAGAAAATTAGGTTTAGATTTTTTAACTCTATTAAAAAAATCTTTAAACAAATCTCTTAATTAAACAATAATATTTATAAAAAAGGAAGTTAAAATCTCTTTTTAAGGGCTTTTCGGGCAGGTCCGAGCCCGGCTGGGCTAAGCCTTAAAAACCCTTTAGCCCAACGGGCTTACCCCGAAAGGCCCAATTTTTTTCTAGAACATATATTTTTAAGTCCGAGCCCGCTATTTTTCAGGGTTGGGTTGGACCAGCCCACAGGCTTTGGCCTCATTGACATGTCTAGTACTCCTTCTGTTTCAAAATAGAGGATGTTTTGTCTAAAAAGAAACTAATTAATTCTTTTAGTTTTTAGATATTTTACATTGAAACATAATTTAATAAATAGTTAAAGATAATTTGACCAATGATATGCTTTACTGCAGAATCTAAATAGTCACAAATTATACAAATTTAATTTTTTGCATATAATCTTGAACTGTTTTTACTAAACATTTTATACTTCCTCCGTTCTTTAATAAGTGATGTTTTAAGCTTCTAATTTTATTTTTAAATAGAAGATGTTTTCAGTTTTTAATGCAAAATTAATTAGTTTTTTCTTGGTTTTGACGATTTATATTATGTAGATTGTGTTTTTATTGGTTGATTAAATAATAAATGATGTTTTAGTTTAGAAATAAACAAAAATTAAATGATTTCTTAATTGATGTGCATTCTCCTAAAACATCACTTATAAAAGAACGGATGGAGTATTGTGAAACAAAATAAAATGCTTAAAACATCATATAATATGAAACAGAGTGAGTATCTAACACGTAAAAAAGTGGTCTAATAATACCACCTCTATAATTTTTTATTTTTTGATGATCACGAGGTTCTATACCTTAGTTAATCCGTATATTCGTTAAGATAAAAGTTAAACCATGTAATTTAACTTTCTAAATGAAAGGAAATACTAATTAATTATGTATATTTCTAATATATTTAAAATAATAAGCGCATAAAAATCTATTCAATATCGTAAAATCTGTATTATTGTTCTTCTGGAATTGTTATCTAGTCATATGTGTACCAATATTTACTTTAAGCCATCTTTCGAAGTGGATCAGATATGAGCTATATTTTACTAAAGGAATCTATATATCTATAATTCTTTAATTATTATCATCAAAGGTAACTATTGTCGTGTTACTTTATTACAAATGACCAAATCAGTATGACGGTGATTATTCTTGCAATTTCTTGACGTCTCACCAACAAAGTCAGCTTTCAAGAATGTGTTAAAAAGTATGTGAAGTTGTTAATTTGTCTAAGTCTTAATCCAGCTGGTTACTTATCCAGTTTGATGAAAATAAATAAAATTCAATTATCGATAATCTATTTTGACCCTTGACCAAGCTTTTTTTATTGATTTATTTGTTTATTTTGATAGAAGATGAACATGTAATCGTCTATGATTAAAATGAAGAATTTGGTGCACCGGAAAGAAAAAAAAAGAGAACATTTTTCATCCTAGCTCATATTCAGTCAGAAAAGACCGGTCGTGATAATTCATCTATCTCGTTAGTTAAATTATATTAAAGTTTTCTTCTCTTGTATAATTGACAGTATATTATTATAAAAAAAAATAGAGAGGACGAGAAACGTGTTCTAAGATTAAACAAAGAAAATGTGAGGCAAAACACCAAATCGAAAATTCGAACAATCACTGTCACGTTGGCAGTGTCACCGTTAGGAGCGGTATTCGGATGTATGACGGACCACCTTCTCTCTTATGTTCCTTCCACTTCTAACTCGGCCGCCGTGAGTCAACGCGTTCATATACACTCTCTCTTTTCTTTTTTTTAAGTATTCTCCATAAACAAAACCCTATTTTATTTGAACAAAATGTATTGATTAGAAAATTAATTAAAACTTACATATATAAGTGTCTTTTGTTGAAGAAGAAAAATATAAGTGGCTATAAAAAAAAAATGAAGTAAATGCAAGCTTTCGATGAACATGTACATGTTACTTAATTGGGGTTTATAGGTTTATTATTAATCGATCTGCATTAACTGAATCTTCTAGGTAATAACTCAAAACTGTATTATAGAGTTTTATGTTCGATAGTAAATTTGCTGTATATAATAATACATCCAATAGAAACTGATTTTTGGCTTGACCGATCTGCATTAACTGCAATACTGTCGAGATAGATTAAAGATGAATATTTTACATTGAATTGATAAGTTTTGTAATGAATATTGGATTGATTACATTTTGTAATCGAAGTGTAAAAGAATGGATGTGGTAAGCATCTTTGACCAGTAGGAAGTAGGTGAGATCGAAAATAAGTTGTTTAGCTATATTTGAGCTGTTTCTGATTATTGATCTACATATTTACATCTCTATCTATGAAAATAGCTGTGGTTGGTCCATTATATTGCCGAAATCACTTATGCATTAGGCAGATCATGCTCAAACTCAAATTTACAAAATTGGAAAAAAAGAAAGAAAGAAAGAATTTGAACATAACTTTCGATTGGGTATTCAAAATGAATATTGCAAATGCTTTTTCTAAAGTATCAAATGCAAAGTTATTCGTTTCCCGTTATTCGTAAGGACTTGTATAAGGAGCCAAGAAGAAAGTATCATCCGAGAAAAAAAGGATGTATGTAATTCAACACAATATAAAAAGATGCATGTAACCAAAAGTAGAACGATAAAAGCGGACTAAAATTTAGTAACTTTGTTAAGTAAAATATAAGATAAATAAATTCCAAATTGATAATTTGGACCATGTTATGACAATATATTTGGACCTACACATAATGGATCAACTATCTACAAACATCTAATATATGAACACAAACCTATATACGGCTGTGTACATAATTTCTGATATGGTTTTGTTATTTCTAGATAATACGTACATATATATATATATATATATATATGTTGAAAAATAAAAAAAAGTAAAGTATTATTCATGTGTGGTTAGTTTCATGTTTACATGTAACGTAGTCAGAAATGGTTTTCTCATGTTTCCCCCTTATAGTAAGAGGCCATCTCTTTATCAGAAACAACAAAACTTAGAGGCCATCTACATAATTTCTCTTACAACGTTCTACAATTATTTACTTTCTTGTCTTTTGGGACATCGTATTATTGTTCTCAAGTGAAAATTTCACACTAAAAAAAAAGTGAGAATTATCAAAAGGTGCATAATAAAAATCGCGGGATTTAGAAAACAAACGTTAGATCTAACGTTATATATATCATGAAAAATCACGAGATTCGATACGTTGTTCGAACATGGAGAACATGTCAATCATCGACGGCTGAAGAACAAGTTTAATAAT